CCATGCGGGCCGTGCAGCACCGCCTTAGCTGGGAAGGGGCAGAGCAACCTGTCCATCCTCTAGGATACCCCATGCGGGCCGTGCAGCACCCACCGCCTTAGCCGGGAGGGGGCAGAGGCAGCTCTGATGCTCAGGAGAGGCAGTGCATGTCTCTGCGGCCTTTGCAGCTGGATTTCAGCAGGAGTCGGGCGACCAGGGCTCAGGGCAGTGTCCTGGGTGACACCCTGTGGCCCTCTCCCCCGTAGCCTGATTGGTGAGAGTGTCCTTGGTGGGTGGCCGTCCTGGTCCCCAGGCGCGAGGACTCTCGCTGGAAGGGCCTTGGTTTGTGTCATCTGATATGGTTTTCTCAACCTCCCCCGACGACACCGAAGGCACTGTGGACTCATTTACCAGGAGGTCCTTGGAGGCTAAGATGACTTGCTACACACAAGAGAGCAGAGGGGACGTGGAGGCCCGGAACCACTCTGATCTGGGAATCTGTCGCCACGTGGTTTGAGAGAAGTTTACTGTCTGGTGCTATTGAGCCAGCGGAGCCCCTGGGTGGGGGCTGGGGTGGGGGGAGGGACGGGGGCTCGGGCCGCACCCCCAGGGCTTCTTTCTTTGGAGAAAGGCCAGCTCATCGGAGGCTGAAGGCCCAGGCCGCTGGCCAGGGGCCGGGCGGGAGGCGAGCCAGCGTGCGAATCCGTCGGGACCACCAGGTGGAGGGGAGGCGGGGGCCCCGGATTGAAAACTTGTGGTTTTCTTTTCTCTTTAACATCAGGACGTCTCTGAGACGGCAGTCAGGAGCCACGGTGTCCCCTGGAGAAGGAGAAGCCTGGCGCCTCTCCGAGAGCCCAGTCTAGGCTTCCCTAATTTGGCCCCGTCCCACCCGAGCTCCAGTGACTCCGGGCTTGTTCCTTATTTTCTCCGAGAGCCGTTATATAACGTGAGTGTTTTCCAAAGGCTCCCATTGGCCGTGGCTGCGGCCGCCACCCCTACCGTGGTACCAGGAATCCTGTTTGGTGGTGTTGAGGTTTTGTGCAGAGTCAGTCCACCCGGGCACACCTCCCTGTGCCTCCCACCGGAGGGCTTGCGGGGCGAGCGCCAAGCCTCGATCCCAGCAGGTCAGACGCAGACAAGGTTGAGCCCTGTGGCTGGGAGTGGGCGAGTGGGGAGATGGGCCGGGCATGGGGGTTCCATGTGGGAACCTGAGTGACCTGCAGCTCAGAAGATGCCGCTCACGGCTTTTCTGGAATCACACAGAGCGTCCACCAGGACCCACCTGCCGTTTTACTGATGACCCAGAGACTGAGGGACCTTAGAAATCGACCGAGAACCGGAGGCTTAGCACTAAGGAGCTGATGGAGGCACACGGCAGTTAGGAAGCGACAGGCCCAGCTGGGGGGTAGCCACCTGTGTGAACTGTCAGGGATACGCGGAGGGCACGCCCTTCCTCTGCCCTTGCTGTGGCCGGTTCCTGGAGGCTCTGCCTGGAGGCCCTGAGCTTCGAGGGCCCTGGAGAGGACTTGGTGGGTGAGGAGCGGAAAAGCTTGTTTTCCTGGCTAGTCAGGAGGGGAGAGCTGAGTTTACTCAGTGGGCCCTTCTCCTCCGATAGTAACCCCACCTGCTGCTTTGTTCAACAGGTAAGAACAGAGGACGTGGGGGCGTAAAGGCACCTTCTGAAATTATCCGGCTAAACCCTCTCATCTGACAGTCGTGAACCTGAATTCAGCCGTGCCACGGTCCCCCAGCAGTCAACAGCAGGGCTGGGGCTCAGGTGGCCTCAGGCCCCGTCCCTGTGAGCAGGTCGCGCTCAGACCTGCCGAGGGCCGGGCCCCGGGTGTGCCCAGCCGACCCTCCCCGGCTGTCCCGCAGCCCCTTCCCGCTGTCGCTGGCGGTGGGTGCCGTGGGTCTGCTCGTCGCGGGTGGGAAAGGAAAACCTCGCTAGATGTGTTCCTTCTTGGGCAGGAATCACATGGCCAGTAATTCGTAGGAATGTTCAGTCGTGACCCCGGCATTGAAGCCCCCTGGCGGGTCCTCAGGTGCAGGCCGTGCCCTGGCATCGGTAGCCTCTCTGCTTGTCCTGTGTTTGTGCTCCCATCTGGCCTCTTTCTGGGGCAGCCCAGCTGCAGCAACAGAGGAGTTGTGTAAGACCGAGCCGCGAGCGTCAGAAACGCTGAATGGGCAGGACTGCACCTGGTCCGCAGGCACCAGCCCCTCCACCAGGGCTGCGCTGTGAGTGAAACAGCCCACCCTGCAGGAATTCACACGCCGGCTGGTTGTAAACCGCGTAAACTCTATTATCTCATGGAGAAAGGTTGGGATAAGTGGGGGGCTGTAAATAAGACCCCAACTATACAAAGTGCAGACGTGCAGGGTGTGAGTGACCGCATTGGTGGTGGGATACTGGACACTCTCTTCTTCACAGCATCAGCGCCTGAATTACCTCTAGTTAAGAAGCAAACCTTTGAGAGAAAGTTGGTGTCGTCAGCCACCTTGGGAAGGAATCCTAGAACTGTGCGAGTCCTCCCCGTCCTCCCTCCCCTGTGGTCTCCCTGTGCCGGGGAAACCCGTTTTCCATGGCAGAGCTGTCTTCACAGGCCCTGACACCGAGCTGGCGTTCATGCCTGGCCCTGAGCCACCCCAAGGAGGGAGTGGAGTTTAACAGGAAAGGCTCTGCGCTCCGAGTGGCTGGACCTGGGTCGTAGGGCCTGCTCGCCTCTGTCTGGTTGCCTGGCTTTGGCTAAGAGGCTTAATGACCTCTCTGACCCACCGTCTCCTCATCTGTGCACTGAGATGATACCACTCAGCTTTCCTGGCTGCGTGGGCTGCTCTAGGGACCAATGAGGCAACGATTGGAAGATTTAAGGACGCACCAATGGCCGATGAGTGCCGGCTCTGCTGTTGACACCCTGCTTTTTTGTGATGGACTCAGGACCTTTGCCTGCACTTCTGAAGAGGGGTAGGGCTGGGGGTTCAGGGAGCTGCTTTTCGGTCAGCTCACAGCTCGGGAGTTTCCCCAAACCTGGGGCTGCTCTCTTTTGTCCAGATGCTTTCCTAAAGGTGACGTCATCAGCCCAAATCCTGAAGATTGCCTTCCCCACATACCCTGATGCTCCTCTGCAGGGCATGGGGCCAGGTCTGATGACAAGCCCCGAGTATAGAGCTGTCTCTTGGCAGAAGCCACGATGGTGCCTCAGTGTGGCCCAGGGAAATGCCCACTCGGCACCCAGGGGCCTGCCTGGCTGGCTGGCAGGACGCAGGAGGGGGAGGAGGGAGTGAAGCAGTGAGGAGAGTGTGAGGCTCTGGGGGGAGTTTGAAGCCGGGACAAGCTCCACAGCCTGGGCCTTCTGCAAGGTCAGCCCTCCTGAGCGGCCTGGTCCCCATTATTCCAGCTGGTAATGGCCCTGTGGCCGGAGCTGGAGATGGCCCACAGCGGCCTCGCGGTGCGGGCTTTCTTGGTGCATCCAGGAGATTAGATCAGGGACTGCGGGGTGGGAGCCTTCCAGCAAAGGCCTCCACGCGGGCCGAGGGGCTTCCCTGCTGGGCTGCTGGACCGAGCAAACACAGCTCCCGGAGTGGGCGTGTGGTGGTGGCTGGTGGACGCGATGCTTTCGCTCGGTTGGGAGCAGCTGATGGGACCGCCACGGCAGCCTGTGACAGCAGGGGCGGCGTCCTGGGCTCGGCTCTTTTAAGACTGTCCTGACGTGCGTCACTGAACCGCCAGGGCCTGGGTAGCGAGAGCGTGATGGCTCTCAGGGCTCTTGGGGGAGGAACACAGGAGCGTTTATGAAAAGGCTTCCGCTTGTGGAAACTTGTGCTGAACGAACGTTCGAGGGTGACGATTACTGGAGACCAGAGAGGACTGTTCTCATTAAAATGGGAGGCAGGTGCCCCGCGCCTGGCTGCTCCTCACTCCCCGTGGACTGAGCTTTCTCGCTGGCCCGTCAGTGCACACGGGCAGCCCTCATGCTGGGACCAGGGAAGGGGGTGCCTTTTCCAGGGGTTCATTCAAACATTTTTGCCACCTGCCATATGCTGGGCCGGCAGGCCGAGGACACAGGTGAGCAGCTCCTCCTGCCTTCCGAGGAGTGAGTCTCCGGGAAGTGGACTGCATGTGGAATGCAGCCCATGGCCCGGGGCATCTCAAGGCCGGTGGGAACACAGATAAAAGAAGAGTTGATTTTGCCCGAGGATGGGGACCAGCTGGGCTGTGAATTGGGCTTTGCATGACACATAGGAGTTCTCTGACTCCGGATTTGGGGCTGGGGGTGGAGGGCTGGGGGAGGGAAGGGTGGGAGCGGGCAGAGGACAGCGCTGAGGCTGGGGCTGTCCCGGAGGGGCTGTCCCGGGAATCGGTTGAGAGGCCTTGAACTGAGGTGTCTGAGCAGTTAAAACAGCGTTCCAGACAAGCCTTGTTTGGGAAAACCACAAAGGGTCTGCCTGGGCTGTTGCTAAAAGAAGGAGCCAGGGCACAGGGCACATGAAAAACAAGGCTGCAGAGACCAGCACATCCGTGGGGCCCAGCCGTCTGCCCGGGGTGCTGGCCCAGTCTCTGTGATGCCTGCACCCACCACAGACCAATCCATGCCCGTGCCCCGGGAGCTCTAACGGGCAGCCAGGCCTGAGCCGCGGTGCTGCCCGTTGGCTGCTCCCCAAGGCTGGGCCTTTCCCCTCCATTCCCGCTCCCTGTTGGCTCCTTCCCTCCCTGCCCCTTAGTCCCTGCCTCTTCTTTCTTCTTCCTTCCTCCCTGGCGACAGGTGACCTGGTGACAGGTGACCAGAGGCAGCCACTTCCTATTCTGGAAGGGAATGTGGAGAGTGGTCAGAATTTCTGAGTGGTTAGTGCATCGTCACCCACTTCTTCCACCCGTTTGCCATCTATGCCCCCTTCCTAATGGTTGATATGGGAGGAGGATCAGGATGGGGAGGTGACACAAAGAGCCATGTGCAGCCCCTGGAGGAGGCAGATGGGCACCTGAGTGCCACTGCCATTGACCACGTGCTCTGTTTCCATCCTAGGACCTGAGCTCTTTTGCCATGCCACACCTGGATGGAGACCTGGAGAGTTCAGAAAAGCACTCTTCTCATAAGGTAAGGTCACCTTTCTCAGCTCACCTGTGGTGCCAGCAAGGCAGGACTTCCTCAGCAAGTGCCCAACACACACACTTCTACCTGCATATCCACCGTGCTCCCACTTGCACATGCACCTGTGCTCCCATCTGCACATCCACATGTGCTCTTACCTGCACATCCACCTGTGCTCTTACCTGCACATGCAGCTGTGCTCCCATCTGCACATGTACCTGTGCTTCCACCTGCACATGCACCTGTGCTCTTACCTCTGCTCTCACCTGCACATCCACCTGTGCTCCCACCTGTATATGCACCTGTGTTCCCGCCTTCACATCCACCTGTGCTCCCACCTGCATATGCACCTGTGTTCCCGCCTTCACATCCACCTGTGCTCCCACTTGCACATGCACCTGTGCTCCCATCTGCATATCCACCTGTGCTTCCACTTGCACATGTACCTGTGCTGTTACCTCTGCTCCCATCTGCACATCCACCTGTGTTCCATCTGCATATCCACCTGTGCTCCCACTTGCACATGCACCTATGCTCTTACCTCTGCTCTCACCTGCACATCCACCTGTGCTCTTATGACTCTGCTCCTACCTGAACATGCACCTGTACTCCCACCTGTGCTGCACCTTGCTCCCACCTGTGCTTCCATCTGCATATCCACCTGTGCTCCAACCCGCACTTCCACCTGCAGGTCCCCCTGTATCTGTTTCCTACATCTGGTGGTCTCCTGGTGCAGCCTGGAGACAGGGCCTCAGGTGAAAGCTGTGTGGATGGTAGGTAGAGAACTGGAGGGGAAGAGGAATGCAGCCTTTGTTGGGGTGCCTGTCAGACCCATGACCACTGTGAGTTCTTGGTCTTTCCTTGGTCTCCTCACTCCTGTCCCAGAACCATCCCTGGAGGGCAGACATGGCCTCCTCCTGACTCTAGAACCTTGGCAGTTCTGCTTCCCATTAAACTCCTTGAGCTACATATGGGCCAGGACTGTGCCAGCTGCGCCCCTTGGGTATATCCCGTCACCTTCGCAGCCCTGTGCCTCGGCCTGGTGTCCTCACTGGGAAGGTGAGGATACCGAAGCTTAAGGCACCTGTCACACTGCTAGAAATAGCTGGGATTCAAACTCCAGTCCTGTGTCCAGAAGCCTTGCTGTGCCACCCTGCTGTCGGGTCAGCTTCGTTCCCACTGCCCAGCCACGTCCACAGGCACCCACCACCCACCACGCAGAGCTTCTCCTTGTTAATTATTCGAGGATTAGACAAAACTCGGGAATCCTGAGTCCCATAGGGAGGTGGCTTGGTGGCGAAACTGGATACAGACAGAGAATCTAAGTGCATTTCATGTTAAATGGTTAGAAAAAGAAAAGCTCGGACCCTGTGAGGGGTGAGCTTGAGCTCTGTGGTTCCTCGCCGGGCACGGCCCCTGCATCTCCCTGAGGCCATGCTGGCCCTCCGTGCGGCCCGGGGAGTGGCAGAGGGTGGGCCTGCGGTGGAGGGTCCCTGAAGGTGGAGTCCCCAGGAGGGCATCACAGCCTTTAAGGAACCTCGAGCCCTGTTTGGGGGCGCCCTCTGGTGGTAGAAGAACTCACAGGGTCATGGGTCGGACAGGCACCCGGAGTGGACAGAGGCCGGTGGGCACGGAGGCTGCCTGCCTGCCTCTGGGTGTGTGCATTCACCTACCTCCCGGCACACTGGGCTGTCCCCGCCAGGCCTTGTCCTTGCCCCAGGCGCCCTGTGACAAGCCAGCGATGCAGCCAGCCTCCGAGGCTTTCGGCCGTGTTCCCTTCCGAGCTGTCAGCGGCCCCCTCACTCCAGCGCCACAGCGGCTTGGAGCTGAAACATGCATCACTCCCCAGCCCCGGGGCCTCTCGGGACGGAGCCCAGGCCCAGCGTGCAGACCACAGAGATTTGTTTCCTCCTGTGAAGAGGGCAGGAGGACACTGTCCCGTGTGGTCAGACCTCGAGGAGGTCACACGTGAGGTCTTGAGCATAGAGGACCGGAGACAGACCCACAAGCAGGTCAAAGGGAGAAGAGACAGCCTTTCAAGCCATGTCCTCTGCCTGCCATCCCCCCGCCTCCTCCAGGACGCCCTCCTGAGAGCTGGGCAGAGGTCATGGGCCTCTGGGTAGTGCTGACCAGCCTGCGGATGGGCTGTGGTGGGGGCAGCTGCCTTCCCCAGGCCACTGGTGGCACCTCTGTTTGTAGAAGAGCTTAGGGCTGCTTCTCGGGCAGGGTGCCGTGGAGGAGCAGCTCGGTGCCAGAGGACCCCGGGGAGAGCGGCAGGTGGGAGTGACAGGCCCAGGGCGGGGCCAGGTCTGAGCGAGCCCACCCCTGTGCCGGTCTCTCCGCAGGTGGACAGCCCCTTCGGCTCCGGCAGCCCCTCCAAAGGCTTCTTCTCCAGAGGCCCCCCGCGCCGGACGTCCAGCCCCGTGTCTGCTCCCGTGAGGCCCAAGACCAGCCCCAGCTCCCCCAAAACCGTGTTCCCGTTCTCCTACCAGGAGTCCCCGCCGCGCTCCCCGCGGCGCATGAGCTTCAGCGGGATCTTCCGCTCCTCGTCCAAAGAGTCGTCCCCCACGTCCAGCTCGTCTACCTCGCCCGGGGGCATCCGGTTCTTCTCCCGCTCCAGAAAAAGTAAGGCACTGTTGCTCTTCCCCAGGCGGGTGCGGCTGCTGGCCCTTCCTCTGCCACTCGGCCACGAAGCCCCCTGCAGGGGCAGCACAGCGGGCCGGGGCTTCCGTTGGTGCTGAGCGCCCGCCCTGTGCCTGTCCCAGGAACACGTCTCCCTCCAGAGCGATGTCGGTCCCCCCCCCACACACACACACACACGAACCCGCCCGCCGCCTGGGCTGAACTGTAGCCGCCTGGTGCGCAGTGAGGCCTCGGCCTCCAGGCTTTTCTGAGGAACAGCAGCGGCGCGAGGCCAAGGTTTGTCCTGTGCCGGCCGGCCCAGCCCTTGCGCTGCTGCCAGTGGGCCTGTGCCTGTGTCTGATATTGGGAGATTTGAGGGTCTCTCTTTCCGACAGACTGTGTTTAAGAGAGAGTTCTTCAGGGTCGTAAATATGTGTGGTCTGAGTGCAAACCGTTCTCGATGGAGCACCGCAATCATAGTGCGTAATAGACCAGGAAACTCTGAAGTGGACTTTCTCTTCTCATGTCTTAGCGCGTCTCCTTGCTCCCCCGATTCTTCCTGGCGACTAGGAAGGTCCCACTCAGGAAGACAGTGATTTGGAGAACAGACTTGCCCTCAGGCACCACAGGTCTGGGGTGGTCTTGCTTTACGTCCAGCGTCATTGGTATCGAAACCTGCCGTCGGTGCAGTGTGAGCTGGGAGCTGGGCCATAGCATCCAGTTCCGCCTCCGCAACTTACAAGGGAAGGGCGGCTGTCTCTCTTCTTTCTTTTCTTTTCCTTCTTGGTGGTGTGGGTATTGTTCCAAGTACCCCGAAGTCATCCCCGATGGGGGGTGAACCAAAGTGTAAACTCACAGACGTCACAGACATGGAGTCGGGAACTCTATTCGGAGGCCCGTTAGCACTGACCTTCCGATGCTCGAGGGAGCTTGCCCAGCCTCCTTGGCAGGGACCCCGAAATTCTCCAGCATTCCCCAGGTGCCGCCTCTCAGAGGAGGGGACCAGGCCAACAGCAAGGGGTCCTGCTTCTCAGCAGGGGCGCATCGTGCCTGTGGTGGGTGCAGAGAGCTAGGCTTCCCGGGGCCGTGTGACAAAGGACCCCAGACTGGGGGCTTCAGCATCAGAAGTGCGTTCCCTCACGGTTCTCGAGGCCGAAGTTCCAAATGCAGGTGTCAGAGGGGCTGTGCTCCCTCTGGAGGGTCGAGAAAATGGTCTGTCCCCTGACTGTCTCTGAGCTCCTGGTGTCGCCCGCAACCCCTGGGGTCCCTCGGCCTGCAGCGCATCCCTCCCATCGCTGCCTCTCGTCACATGGAGCTGTCCCTCTGTGTGTCTGTGTCCGAGAGCTTCTCTCCTCTTCTCATGAGGACAGCGGTAGAGCGGGTTAAGGGCCCCACTGCCCACAAGCTCATCTTCATTTCATCGGCAACAATCCTATTTCCAAATAAGGCCACAAATGAGGCTCCTGGGAAGGTGTGAGTTTGGGGCGAACACTTCAACCCAGCACACATGTTACCTAGGAAAAGCCGCTATCCGCCGCCACACCCCTGGCTGGATGCAGAGGCTGCAGTTACCGGTGCCCCGCCTGTTAACACATTGTTTGCGGGTAGTTTTTATCGCGCGCTAACAGGTGGCGCGGGCCATTTTTGCTAATTTTTTGCGCAAATGGCAACGTTCAGTAAAATTACGATAACTTTAGTTTACGTATTTATACGTTACCCGCATTCTACCGCTAGTCTATAAAAAACGTATTAATATGTGTCCTGCGCTCTACCACACTGGTAGAACGTATAAATACATAAAACGTATAAATACGTTTCCCGCATACAATGTGTTAAGACAGGGTCGTTTCTGAAGGCAGGAAGGGGTCTGGGTGGCCTGGAGAGGCCGCAGGTGGGATGTTGGATGAAGATGGGCCGGACTTTGCACGCCCTGGGAGACGGCAGTCACTGCCTTGTGCGGGCTCTTTTAAGAGGCTCTCCGGCATCCTTGGCCAGGAAATACCCAGTTCAGAGGTCTGCCTGTAAGACGCTGCGGCTTAGGTGTGGGCTGCTTGCGCAGGTGCTTCTCCGCCGTCCGGGGAGGCAGCTGGAGGCGGGGCTCAGTATGGCTCTGGAGGACCGGCTGCTCTGAACACCGGCATCGTTAGGCCAGGGTACTCCTGGCCCAGGACGCTGTCCGTGCTGCTGCCGGAACCTCTGAGCCCAAGACCAGACTTTCCCTAAATGGGAAACCAACCCTGCCCAGCCTGGTCGGGGTGAAGTGGGAAGGTCTCGCCCGGGTCCAGGGGGAGCATGCCCGTTTCACAGGGGGACCATCGGCTCCTGGCCACGTGGCTCCTTACCTGTGGGCATCACAGGGACAGGGAGTGGAGGGCGTGTAGTCTTTCTGCTCTTCCTCGTGTTTCCGTCAGCTCCTGGGTCAAGGCGCCCAGACTGTCTATCGCTCCCCACGGCCCCAGACTAACTCTCCGTGCTGAGCTTGGAGGTAACGTCACTTGTCTGTAAGGAGGGACTTTGGCAGGAGCAGCCCGAAGCCTGCTGCCTCCACCAGAGGGAGGCCCCGGAGACCTGTCCGTCACCAGGGCCCCGGGGGACGCGCCCGCCGGTGTGAGCACCTGGGCCCTTTGCCTTCAGTGGACACGTGGTGAAATGGCCCAGTCCTCCCGCCTGTGCTGCTCGCTAGGAAGCTGACAGCCAAGTCTGTACACGGGCATTCTGGGATATGTTTGCAGCCTTATTGCTGAATCCATTTTTGGTCTATTTTCACACCACTATTTTTTTTTAAGACAAAGACAGACAATTTTGTGGAAGGATGTGGGGGTATTTACAGAATTCAAAGAAGAGTTCAGGATTCAGGGAGGGAAGGAAGCAGGCTGGCCCGGCGGCCTCGGCAGCAGGAATTCATGGGTCGTCCCGTGAGGCCCAGAGAACTACTTGTCTTTGTGTCTCTCCACTTTCCATTTTACACTCCTCACTCCTGGATGTCTGATGAGCCCGGTGAGGATCCCTGAACCAGTCAGTTGTTCAAGAAGGATTTAATTTAATGTTACTAAACTGCTCCCTCGTCATTGGCAATAATTATAATACTATAAATAATAAACCTAGTAATCATAAATAATTATAAATACCTATCACATGCATTCTAACTGCCTTGTAAGTGACTATTGTTTCAATCTTCATAAAAGGGTGGTGAAGTAATATTTTTACCATCTTCATCAAAGTAGAAACTGAGGCACAGAGTGGGGAAGCCATTGAGCAAAGATCCCACAGCGGTAAGTGGCAGAACCAAGCTTTGAACTGAGGTGGTGTCACACCCCAATCCACTTTATTTTAAACTTTTTTTGTGTTGTTTTGTTAATCCTCACCTGAGGGTATTTCTCCATTCCTTTTTTTTTTTTTTTTTTTTTTAGAGAGGGAGAGAGTGGAAGGGAGGGGGAGAGACGGAGAGAGAAACATAGAAACATTGATGTGAGAGACACATCAGTTGGTTGACTCCTGCACGCACCCTGGCAGGGGCCAGGGATTGAGCCTGCAACCAGGGTGTGCCCTTGACAGGACTCAAACCCGAGACCCTTTAGTTCTTGGGCGGACGCTCTAACCACTGAGCGAAACCAACTAGGGCCCCAATCCACTCAACCCAGATGGGAGGCTCTGCTTTAGAGGAGTGGGTTTTAGGAATGTTAAGCCAGTGATAGTACAATTAGCCATTTAGGGAGAAAAAATATAGAGGTGATTCCTCAGTCATTGGTTATATCAAAGTAACATCCATAAGGAACAAAGCTTAAATGAGAGAGAGAGAGAGAGAGGAGAGAAACGTCGATGTAAGAGAGAGACACGATTCGTTGCCTCCCGCACACCACCGAGAAACACCCTGTACTTTCCCTTGAAGTCCCAATGACTGTAGGGCTGTGAGGAGCTGAGGACACGCTGCTTGTCCTGAAGGTCATAGGAGTGGACGCCTAGCTTGCGAATTCATTGACAAGCCATAAACCAGCTCGAGGCATCAGATGCCATCCTGATCTTTGTCCCTTATCCTCACACCCCTCCACGACCATTTACCCTGGATGCTACTCAAACACTTACCAGCCAGCGCGGCCCAGCACCTGGCCCTGGGGACCGAGTGGGGTTCTGGCCTCGGCACAGAGGTACCTTGTCCTGGAGGTTACCTTTTGGGTGAGCATTTTGCCAGATGGTGGGGTTGATGGACGCCCAGGAGGGACGGCCGGAGGCCTCTGGGCCAGGCTGTGCACCGGCTGATTCAGAAGCATTTCGGTCGTTTAACGGGCCGGCCGCCCCGACGCGCTGCCGCTGGGCCTGGCCTTGCTCACACATCCACCATTGCTCTTGTTAGTGCCAGGCTCTTAGGAAAACCACGGCCCTTGCTTCCTCCTCTGAATAATTGTGACTGAGTCTCAGCAGGGACCCAGCGATGGGACCTCGCTCTGCACCTTCCCAGCAGGACCCTTAGCCTCCTGGGCGCTCAGTCTCCCAGGTGGGGCACCAGCACCCAGGCCAAGGAGCAGCGGCCGGGCCAGGAGGCCTGGGCTGGGAGGGAATGGAGTGCAAACCACCCAGAAGGAAGAGTGCTGAGAGGCCGCTGCTGACCCCGCAAGGAGGGGACGGGCGTCTGGAAGTGACGTTTGCGTGGCCTCTCTTCCCGCCTGCACACCACCCTCCTGCTTTCCCACCTCAGCGTTCCTGCAGAATCCCTCCTTAACTGCTGCAATAGAAGGAGCTGAGTTTCGATGCCTGCAGCTGTGCAGCCAGAGTGACGGGGGGGGAGGGCAGGGGCCAGGTCTGCAGGCAGCGTTTCCCTCTCCAATCCCTCCCCAACCGTCACCGCTGGTGAGAATGAGGGCGGGTCTCCGGGTCCTTTCCCACTGGCGACTGGTGAGGCTGATGTCATGAGGGTCACGAGAACAAGGAGGTGAGAACATTTTAACACCTTAACATTTAAATGTTAAAATGTTCTGAGAACAAGGAGGTAAAACAGCCTGCAGTTG